TAACTATTTTTCTGTTGTCAAAAATTATTTATACTTATATTGAATTAAAACTTATCCATCAAAGGATATTTTGATGCTTAAAAAAGCCCACCAAGGGATGTATCCTTTATAATCTTCGGCCCACCACCCTAGCAGATTGCCAGATTCTTTATGCCTCATAACAGCATAACGGGTTCATATTAGCCTTTAATATGCAGTGCTTTTAACCAAAGCATAGGATACTCTTTAATTAGATTCTCTTAATCCAGAGACTTTTTACCCCCACAAGTCATGGGGCAAACAAGCAATAGGCAAATTTGTGAGCAGTGACTTTACCTTTTTGTTTCTACCCTATTTCTCATGTATATGATTATGTGTTGAAACAAATACTTTAATTATGTATATAGCACAAAAAGTGAAATCTAGAACTAATATTATTTTTTTTGGCAAATAACCAAAATGGTTATTAAATAGGCCCTCAAAGTCTAATGCAGTTGAATGCATATATAAGAAGAATTTTTTATGTAATATGAAGCATTTATGTTTGTCTCTCTTCACAGATTATAATATGGATTAACGACATAACTGATATGACTGGTTTTTAGAGTATATTAAAAGAAAATTAATACTTATGTTATTATTTAAGTGAAATTGTAACACTACTTGATGTTGTCAATATGAGTCATAGAAACATTGTTTAATTTTATCATGCTTTGAACACAATCATGTTAGCCTCAAATGTACATTACGTATTCAAATGCTTGTGTTTTTTTCACATTCACTTCCATCTTCTACACACTCCTTTTAATTTGACTATTAATTTTGTTTAATTTATTTAATCTCATAACTAAAAAACAAAACAAGTGTACAAAAGATAAAAAAAAAATGATGTATAAAAATCATTACTCCATGAAAAAGATGATTGTGTGAATAGAAACTCTCTTAATTGCATGTAAGTTATTCCCATGAGGAGAGGATAAAAAGAGAAGTTTCTGAAACATGTTGGTGGCAAGTTTTTGAGGATGAGAGTGCAGGGACCATCTATCAGTCGAGCAAATTAAACTAGCTAGATTGAGGTAATTAAGGAGTTGAACAAAGAATATTATGTACTATAATTGCTGCTGTATAACTAGTTTGACCCAAAAGTGAGAGATGTGAAACAAGTGGTGGGGGAACCTCGGATTCTAGAAAAGTTTCGGGATGTTAATAATTTTTGTGAATTTTTCTTTTTATAGTGAAACTAATTAAAGTCAGTATTTGATAGAAGATTGATACTGCATATGCATCATTGGATTTAAAAGATAACCTCTCTAATTTTTTATCATAATAATGTAATTCAAATTTATCTTTAACAAGATTCGAACTTAAGATTTCTCACTTAAAATGAAAATGAATACCGTTAAACTATAATACTAAATGACACCTCAATGTAGAATAATTTATGGGGCCATATGATAATCCATTATTTTGGTTCCTCATTCCAATGCCCTGCTGCCTTCTCTTCCCCCTACTCCCCTTCTCCTTATCTCTGTCAAACTCACACGTACGACTACTGCAATGTTATATTCCTTTTTTTCACTTTTTAAGATGTCCCAAAACATAAATGTAAACATTAAGTAAAATATGTTTCACCTTACACGTCCACACGTAAAGACAATTATTTCAATTTCTCTGTGGAATGTTAAAATGGTTTCGGATTAACTTGGTCTTGTCAGCCTCCAGCCTCCTGTAAAGGGACACAATTTTTTTTTTTAACTGAGCTAAAGCTTCACCTTGCTAACTTAATTCAGAGTTGTACAATGTTTCAACCAACAAACAATGATTTCATTAATGAAATCATTAAAATGTATAACACAATGTTTCTCGAATTACATATCTGACATAATACATATCATGTCGCTCATTGATTTAGAAATACATAAAAAACGAAATACGCTTACATCAAACGTCAAATTACAATCATACAACAAATAAACTCCACTTCAAAGGCACACAAGTTGATTACAAGCTAACATATTCAGTCGGGGCACATTGACAAAAGGTTAACTCTCAAAAGTGGGCTAGGGTTTTGAAACCCTAGAATCAATGCATCCAGGTCTACAAACCACGTACTTTGATTTTTTACAATCACACGAAGATCCAACAATACAACGAGAATGATTATAGTTCTACGATCAAACTATTGAATCATAGAAAATCAGTTTGGTAAGAATCTAAAATAGATATGAATTTCACCGAGGAAAACATTTCTTGCCATAAGTGATGATTTAGTCACTAAAGAGTTTCAGCAATGAAAGGTTTGTGTCGCTCACTTTGTCATTGAACTCCTGTCACTGAATGTGGCTCTAAATTTTCTAGGTTTCTTTAATTTCTAAACCATTCAATCATTCATACTAAACAAGGCCTAAAGATTTTGGAAATTTTATATTTGTAACATTTGCAATATGATTACAAATCCTCGTGTTAATCAAATAGGCGACCTAACAATTTACAAATCATGTATCAACAGTTACAACAACGTCTCAAATCTTGTACAGATAATATCAAATCGTGTACGTACAATATCAAATCATGTACAGACAACCTCGATTCATGTACCAACAGTATCCCTGTTTGTAAATTCCATAGAATCTAGCTACCACATACTTTCACAAATTACTTTGATGGCCATAACCTCGTCGTAATATTTGGAATAGCTTTTGTGCTTATTTACTCATTCATTCGAGCGTTGTGTATCTAGCAAAAAATTTGTGAGTCTCTCGTAGTGTGTATTTTAATTATTTTTTGTGTTGGTATATTATCAGTTTTTCTTAGGTCTACTTCATTGATTTTGGTAGCTTCATTGATGGTGTTGAGCACAAAATTTATGTTGGTATGGACATTTATTGGTTCATTGTTAGTTCCTCTTTAGAGTTAGCGCTACTCATTACCAAAGTATGTTCTCATGCTCATTATAGAATTTCTCATTTATCGCAAAGTGTTTGACTTTTTATTTATTTATTTCTTTATCACAAGTGGATTTTTTTTTTTTTTTTTTACAATCTTCTGAGTTTGGGTGTCAATGATTTCAAAATTTGGACACATTCATTTGCTTATTCTCGGGCATGTCTTGCTCTCAAATCCACCAATAGGATGGCAACTTGTTTGGCGAAGTTGCCCTTGATGTTCTGTTAAAATCACTTCGAGTGAGGACCAATTGGTTGTTATCCAATTTGTCTTTTTTATATATGTATTAGTTCTTAAATGGTATAATGAAATTGCTATCGTTTCGTCTAATTTTTTTTTTACTGAAATAATATGAGGTAGTTTATACATGAGATCTTTATTTATTTATTTTTTTTCAACAAACAATATTATATACATTAAAAGAGAGAGAGTAAGCTTAACCTCACAATGAAATATTAGAAATAATAAACCAACACATACCTTGAATGTAAAGTCAATGCTCTTAATGAACTGCACACCTCTTGTATTGCAAAGCCTTAATAGGTAAATGTTTTTTTTTATCTTTCACTTTATTTGTTTTTGTGGGAGGATGTGAAGAAATTTCTTACATAAAAATTTATATTTTTTGTACTTTTTACTCATTTTATATAATGATATTCTATATTTAAGATGAGGGAGATAGAAATAGATTGCACGGTAGATCAGTCATTAACGAGATATCAAGTTTAAAATGAATATTATCTATATAAATCGAATTTGACATATCAAATTTATAAATGAAAAAATATCACTAAATTATAACATTAGCTAATTACTAAGATCAAAATAACGTAAAAGAGGAGAGTAACACCTCACTTATTAGTGTCCAAATCGATTTCCAGTCCTATCATGAAGGACAAATTAAGTAACAAAGCATATAGGAAAAAAATGATGAGAAATTTCTTGAGATTCTGTAATGTGAAAATGATCACAACCCGCACGAGTCCTTTCATTGGATTCTCTGTTTGATGCCGGACTCAGCTGAGACACCCAGACACACAAGTGTCTGACAACGTGATCTCAACCTTGAATATACTATATAAATCCAAACCAATACACGCACACAGAGACGTAGTCCCTTTGTGTTCCTGTTAGGGAAAAGAGATTCTTTTCGAATCTCTTCCACCAAATTCATCAAATTTATAAATCTGAACCTTTGAAATTTGATCAAACGATTAAAAATAAGGGTTTTTTAAAAAATTATAATAACTTTAATCGTTGAATCAAATTTCAAGGGTCCGCATTTGTGTATTTGATGGATTTGATAAAATAGATCCGGAGAGAATCCCTTTACCTTGTTAGGCCATTATGCAAACAGTATTTTATATTATACAGAAATTACGTTTATAAGCTTTCTAATTCCAACCATATAATCCATTTACGACAATACTTCTCTCATTTTTTAGCATTATTTCACCGTATAATAAAAAATTTAAAAAAAATTTATATGAATCACTGTTTTCTTTATCATGCATTAAAGTTAAAAATCATTTCTAAAAACTTAATCCGATATATAAAACCGCTTAGTCCTCATAAGTGTCCAATAAATTAATGAATATAGTAACAAGCAATATTGTTATGGTAAAAGTTAATTTATTCGTACAAAGGATCTTCAAATATAATAATAGATAGATACTCGATCACTAGTTTTTCATCAGAATGGTGGACCATATCAGTTTACAAGTTGGCCGTTAATATAGACTAAATAATATTGTTAGACAACAAATAGTGGTGCCATATGATTAGTTAGTGGGGTTGAGAGGTACCCACAAATTGAATGTGAAGAAATTATCACTCCAAAATTATATCCTCTGCGTAGGAATCCAACGTTCAAAGAGTTACGTCATGATGCAATATGCTGATACAATTTTTTGTCCACAAACAACCTTTCCACATTCATAATAATTTGTATATATCATATGTTCATCAATTTAACTAAGTTAGCTAAAACATATTACTTTGTTAAACCGAATACGCTATTCATAATTTAAATAAATTTAATATAAAATATCGGATGTATAAAAAAACTTGCTACATATATAAACTTTCTGTCTTCATTAACTTAAGAAGGGTTTACACACAACAAAATAAGTGCCTATGCTTCTCGTACTACGTTGACTAAACAAACCACACTCAAACTTCATACCCACCCATTACATTTCACTCACCAAACTCAGAAGGTCAGCAATACCTTTAAAAATAAGCAAAAAAGGCTAAAATCAATTAGTTGGACAGTCCCAGCTAATTTAATTACTGATTAGTATACCCCTAGAATTTGAAAACCCAACTTAGATAGTTGGCAAAGAAAAAGCAAAGGCCAATAATTTGCTTTCTCCCAACTCAAAATCTCATCCCATGAGACTATACTAAAACTAATTTGATGGTAAAGATGACAACCATCTCTTAACTACGGAAATTATTTATGTATATATTCCATGAAATGTCACTCAAAGTTTGATTTAAACTGAAATACCGCCATTTGCAAAGCAGAAGAAGAGCTCCAAGTCCGGCGGAGCGAAGAAGGCGATTGGAGATCTCCGAAACAAGCAATTTGATGAAATAGCTCTCTTCTTCTTAGGCGCCGGTGGACAGGTTACAATCTCCGGTATCCGGAATCTCTGAGCTTTCGGAGTGGAGCAGGCGCTTGCAGTAGACACATCATCAACAGCCTCGAACTCATCTATGCCGCCTTCAATCTTCGGAGCATCGTTGCAGACCACGGAGGATGAATTCGAAGGCGAAGTCTTCGGAGATGCAAATTCTTGATGAGTAGTAGTCTTTGGCCGGACAAGCTTCTTCTTGAAATGGGTTGTTTTTGTTTTTGCCTCTCTTGTTGTTTTTGTCTTTGATCTTGTTCTTGCAGCTGGAGTCATTGGTTGAAGAGAGCAAACAAGAATTGGTGAAGAATTTGAAGATGGCCAAGAAGCAAGGGAGAAGTTTTCCGAAAAAAAAACTTTACCAAACGAGGAAAATTAACTAGTAGAGAGAAAAACTAAACCCTAAATATTGGATGCTTTATAAAGCAAATAAAATTTGACTGGAAAAAGAGTCAAAAAGCTAAAATGATCAAACACGCGTTTGGAAACAAAGCCTTTTCAATCAAACCTTACAACTACCTACCACTTCGAGGAAACTCCACTACACATGGAGTCTGCAACTCAGAAAATTTCTGACCCAAAAGAGAAAAAAGACACAAAAACAAGATCAACCCAGAAATATTTTCAAGATGCAAAGAAAGGAACACAGAAGATGAGTGGATTATTGGAGTGAATAAGGTGGGAGGGGGCGAAACCCACTTCCGTAAGAGTTGAAAAGCCCTAAATAAAACCCTAGAAAGATGATGGAGGGGGTGAAGGGAAGAGAAGAGGCGGGATCTAACACTTATGAATAAATATGTTGCCCGTAGTGCTTTATATTGATTGAGAATTGTGATATAATTCGGGCAAATGCTGCCCGCTGCCCGAAGCAAAGCCCAGAAACAGAGGCGGTAGAAGGGAGAAAAACTGAGAGGTTTAAAAAGCAGGATAATTCTTAATTTATTACTCTTAAGTGTGGTGATGCACAAACTCAACTATCTGCAAAACAAAGAATAACTTTGAGCAAGCCTAAGATTGGAGGGGGTGTGCTGGCCAATGGCTTTCGACTATCAAGTTAGTGAATTGCATTTAGACTCAAGCAATGTATAAGAGAATTCAAGTATTAAGATTGTGTTATCATAGATGAACCCTAGATGAGTGTATCTATGTCATTGAGAGATAAACCTTTTTAGGATAGAATCGTTATTCTAAGCCAGAAGAATCCTAGAGGATATCTAGAAGTAGATATTGCAACATCTTAAGAGTTGTGACTACTAGCGGCGCACGCCAATTCCTAGATTGTAGGAACTCCAAGACTTATAAGGATCTGAATAAGCCTATATCCGGATCAGATCGCATGTCTTACAGAACAAGCATAGTGAGCAGAGTCGCTAAGACTTTCATGTTGCCCGGAACAGGGTGATGGTGCAAACATTGCCTCGTCTGATCTAACTCCGCTTTGAGCTGGTAAGTTCATGACCGGACTTTTGAAGTAACTGTATTAGGATCAGCCTTACTCCAATCCTGAAAAATCATGGTCCCACACACACCTTTTAATTTAGTCAGCTCCATGGATTATGTTGGGTTGTAGTTGCAGAGTGCTAGTCATCGTCCATCTATGAAAGAAAGATGAAAATGACTGGTTAAATTTGTTTTTTTTTTCTTTTTTTTTTTTTTTAATATTCACGTGGGACCAAATTGACACATGGCATCGAGCCATTATTCACGTGGGCCGTACGTCACACGTTAACGGAAGTTCTGACGGAAAGTCTAACAGAAGTATGAAAGTGTCCCACAATCCTTATTTTAAGTATGAGATTGGAATGAAAGAAACTTGATTTATACAAGTTTGAAAACCACGATACTTCAAAATAGTAAAATGAGAATTACCCTAAAAGATATTTACTTCTTATTGGAAAAGTAGATTTATTTTTTATTTTTGTATAAGCAATACTAAAGCAAGAGAGTCAAATCCAGAAAAATGTTTTTAACCAATTAAACTACATAATTCTTTGCGTATGGTTTAATTACAAAAGCTTAGTTCAGCTCGTTTGTGGATCGACCGATCTTGTGGTTAACTCGGCTCAACTCATCTCATTTTTTAACCAATATTGAACCTAATTTGGCTCGACTTAATGAACATTGAAAAATTAATCAAGCAAGGACAAATAAACATAATAGGAAGACATGGGTTAAGTTTTAATGAACGAGACGGACATGAGCTATCTCATGAAAACATGTACAAGGCTACAACCTGCTCACGGACTTTATACCAAATATTTCAAAGCTCATGTTCGGCTCCATTTTTGAACAAGATTAATATTTTGTTTGATTGTAATTGATGTTAATATTTTTAAGCCAACTTAGTATTATGGTTTAGTGGCCCTCTTTTTTACTTGTAAATGAGATATCTTAGGTTTGATTTTCGCAAAGGCAAATTTAAACCATATTATTGCTAACCTATTATGAGGCTTAGCTTACTCCCCCACTCTCTTAGCGTAAATAGTAATACTACACTTACCATCTAATTATACAATTATTTGTATCATCTCTTTGATAGAGGTATAGTCTGACAAAGCATGTGGGTTCTATCTGCATTAGAAAGATGTACAAATAAATTATAAAAGTAATATTTTTGTTAAAAAATAAATAATAAATAAAATCATTGCGTAACATTTTATGTTAGAATTTCCTGTGCACCCTATGACCCTAGGGATTACAAATTATAATACAAATAGATCAAGAATAATATGGGCACTGGGCATTGGGCATTGGGCATTGGGCATTGGGCAAGAAGGGCAGGTACCCATGGAGCAGTTAATAGTTTAGATTCTGTTCAATTATATATATAACATTACAAAATTAATAATTATTTTTTTTCATAGTTATCTAAGTTGATAAATGAGTCACTCACTGTTTTGTCTGCAAGCAAAGATTTTTTTATTAGGGTTTCTGAGATTGATTCATGCATGGTGGATGCCCTTCTTGTTTTTTCCTATTTTTTGAGAATTTTTTTTTAAGACAATGTCTGTACTTTTCAGGGTATCCTAAATACAGTAATTCAATATTTGTACACGTGTCCCATTATACATGGACAAAGTCATGGCATACAAGAAAATTTTGTGCAAGCATGAACATGGTCCAATGGAGTTTCATGTTCCATGTTGAAGTTTGTTTTTGGAGGTTCCCATGGTATTGTATTTTTTTTACACCGTAAATCTAGTGAGATTTTTTTTGAGCGTATCTAAGTAGACTCTATGTTTACTTTCTACGTTGTTACATTCCATTTAGGATTAAGAATAAGCGTAATGGACATACTTTTTACATATCTCTCGTTATTTGCGATGAGACCCTATTCACCTCACCTCTTTGGGCTACTATTGGATCAAGAAATCGGTTTGATTGTCCATCTTTTTTTTATATAATAATATATATTTTTAATATAATGTATATAAGGCATCCTTCAGATAATTCAAATCGAAGCAATTGGATGTTCGACTCGAGCCTACATGACATGACTTATCAATAAAATGAAAACGACTATTCTGCGAAGAAATGAAATGTTCCAAATGTTCTTGTAAATTCTTGTTCCCATTGTACCATTTGTATCTATATGCATTAGGATCCCAATTCATGGATCTCTCGGTTCGAGAAATAAAAATAAGAGGATCGAATGATTTCTTCTGACTCTTTTTCAAATTTGATAAATGTTGGTTGATCATACATTTTATTATAGTTCTATGATTCAACCAAAGGCTGTGTTGTAAAACTAATATTCAGATTATAAGTGGTAAATGCGTTGGTGGTTAAAGTTTTCATCTTTAAATCACTGTATTTCGCGCTCAAATCACCAACCCTTCCCTGAGTCTAGCTTAAAGTAGTAATAAAAAACTATCACTCAGATTAATTAAGTAATACATTAGATAGTCAAATTCAGAATCCCGGCAAATACTTGTTTGAATGTATGATTCAAATTGACATTTTAACATAACATACATGGTGCCACTTAGTACTACGGTCTAGTTGTATTCCTCTCACTTGTAAGTGATATGTCTTAGGTTCGATTCTCACCAAATGTGAGTTTGAGCCATATTATTACTAACTCATTGTGAGACTTAACGCACCCCCTTCCTCTTAATGTAAATAATATCGTTTGTTAAAAAAATAAAATAAAATAACATAACATACCTGGTTAGTTTGATCCAACAGTTGCATGGGTGAATCCGTGTATGGAGAGAGAGAGAGAGAGAGGTTGACCTTGGAAAGAATTAAGCAAAGGTTGGAAAAGCTGCTAAACGAGCTAGTTTTGCACACAATGAGGATTCCAATGTAGAATCGCATGTCAACTAATTTCACCGTCTCCCTAAAACGAAATGGATTTCAGCACACTGACAGCCACCCGGAGATCGAGATATTCTCTTTCGTAACAACTTCGTAGTTTTAGTGGCATCGTTCAACCAATTAATGTTGCATATGAATGCCGTACACAAACTTAAAGGAGGTCATAGCGTCAAATCATTAAAGAGACGGGCCAAATGCTCATTTCCAACAACACCGATATTGTCTCCAACTTGTAATTACTATCTGCATAGTGTGCAACATGTGTATAATTTTATCACAAAAAACCTCGTATTAGTTGGAATCGAGTTAGGTTATTAAACTCCTGTCTCTACCCGATGTGAAATATTTCAACAAATAGTAATTATAAGGGATGGAAGTCACCTTAATCATGAGGTTCTCAATAACAAACGACATATAATATTAACCAAAAGCAACAGCAGCATTTCAACTTCAGCATTTTTAATACCATGAGATTTCCAACACAAGAAGATGATATAACCATCACAACAATTTTTCAGCAACACAGATGAAACTGCTCTTACCATTCTCCACAATCCAAATGCAAATGTAAACAGAGAAAGACAACATATAGCAAACCCAGTACAAGAAGAAACGTGATTCCGTTGCGAAAACTGGGATGGGAACAAACACGAAGTACAAACCCCTTGCCCTGGGCCTACATAAACAAGGAAGCAGAACATAACAGGCAATGTATGAGAAATAGTTCTTAGCCAACCAACTTAAATTCTAGAACAGAACTCGATCTTAGATATCATCAATCCCGGAGACCAACGTATATTGACCCAACATGCATCAGTGTAGCACAGGACTAAATTAGAGGGGAAACATATGTCATGTAGCAGATACACAAGGCAAGACAACAGAACCTAAATCAGCAGAGAAAACTAGCTAAATATGAAAAACTTCACCCATACGTACAGCATACTTCTCCCAAAACAACAACTAGAAAATCTGACTGAAAGTCGTCAAGCAAAATATGAAGCAACAATGTAAAAGATTATGGCTAGTACACAATAGCAATTGATGGCCAAGCTACAAGGAATCACCGTCCTCTTGATATTGCTTCATCCAACTCATCATGCGTGGAGGGGAACAACTCTATGTATCGACTTCCAAGCGTCATCCTATCCTTGGCCATAGCTGCCTTGGAGTCTTCCGCACTTGCAAACTCCACAAACCCTTCCCCAGTGGGCCTCCCTTCCGAATTCATTGTAAAATGAATTGAGTTCTCAGACAACACATAGTCCTTAAAGAAATCCATTATATCATCCTTGCCAACTGAAAATGGCAATCCCCTCAACCGCAATACCCCCGTGTGCTCCGCTGAGTCCTTCCCTTCATCATAAGATTTGGCCCTTGGGGCATTTCTGCGAGGGGAACCACCACGAGAATCAGTAACTTCTTGTGCTATTGCCTTGTAATATTCCTGCCTTTTACTTCTGAACACTTCAACATATCTCCTGCCCATGTTGTGCCTATTCTTTTGAAGGGCAAAATCAACCTGGAGAGGATACCCCAAAACACAAAATGC